ACCTGGACCACCCCAGCAGCACCGCCCCAGGCGTCCTGATTTAGCCGCTGCTGAAACTGACCAGCGCTGACCACAGGAAGCCCGAGGCAGAGTTGCTCTGCCCCAGGCTTCCTGGAATCAGCCGCTGATCAGTTTCAGCAGCAGCTGACTTGGGGACGCTTGGGGTTCTTAAGTTGAATCTGTATGTAAGTCAGAACTGGCGATCAGTTTCAGTAGCGGCTGAATCTGGACACCAGTTCCGACTTACATACAGATTCAACTTAAGAACAAACCTACAGTCCCTATCTTGTACGTAACCAGGGGACTGCCTGTAATGTTGCTGTTACACAAGAATTCCAGGTAACCTTACTTGTAAAAAGCAAAGAAGATGTAAAAAGCAAATTCGAGGCAGCATTTTTTAAATGATAGTAATGATTAAGTATATGTTTACATAGTGGCTACCACAACAGGACCCTGGGTCTCGGATGTATGCCTGTAGTATGGCAAAACACATTATTTGTATTAACATTATTAAACAAGTATGCTGTTGTTTGAAGCTTGCATTGAGATGCCAATGGCATTGGAAGAATATTATTTACAAATCTACTGAAATATGTAGCTAATAAAACTGATTTAATTAGTTTTATTTTCATATTTGTTCCCTTCACGTGGGAAGAAGTACTTGAAATTACAGAGTTCTCTCTTATGATAGCGAAGGCAATACTGAGAAACTTTTTTGTAGCTTGTTTGTTTTTCTAGCTTGTTTTTCTAGCTTTATGTTATAAAGTAGTGAACAGTAATGGCTAATAATGCTACCTCAGTATATCAAGTAGATATATATTAATTTATAATTTTTAAATAAGACTATAGTTCAATGAATAATAAAAGCAATAAAAAATATTATGCTACTATATTAAGTTGCACTTGTATAGTGGCCTTCTTCTAAGAAAATGTCTTGGAAACATAAGTTTGGCCTACCATAAGCTTTGTGGTGTTTATAGGGAACAAAAAATGGGAACAAAAAAAAGAAACTGATGCACAGGTTTACATGTGGACAGATCCTGTCACTGCAAGTTGTGTGTGGATTCTCTGCAAACCTACTGTAACTCTAGCACAAAAAGAAGGCATGTGTAAAATACTGTGAATGACAAAAAGTTGGGAGTTACTGACAACACAGAAGAGGACTAGAATATCATACAGGAAGATATGAATGACTTTGAAAACTGGAGTAATCAAAATGGGATGTAATTTAATAGAGCAACATGTAAGGTAATGTACTTATGGACTTTTTTTTTCCCTGTAAGTTGGGGGCTTATTTGTTGGAAGCAACAAATAAGGATAAAGATATGGGTATATCAGTTTATCACAGGATGACTATGAGTTGCCAATGTAATGCAGTGAAAAAAGATTAATGCAGTCCTACAATGCATCAGGTAAGATATTTCCAGAGAGACACGGAAGTGCTAATACCACTATACAAGGCACTGGTGAGACCTCAACTGGAATATTTTGTGCATTCTGGTCTCCTATGTTTAAGAAAGATTAATTCAAACTGTAACAGATGAAGAAGAGGATTACTAGGATGATCTGAGGAATGGAAAACCTACCTTACGAGAGGAAACTCAAAGAGTTTGCCTTGTTTATCTTAACCAAAAGAAGGATGAGGAGAAGTATGATTGATCTCTATAAATATATCAGAAGGATAAATACCAGCAAGAGAGGAGTTATTTAAGTTAAGCACCAATGTGGACACAAGAACAAATGGATATAACCTAGCCATCAACATTAGGCAAATTAGACAAAGGTTTCTAACAATCAGAGGAGTGAAGTTCTGGAATAGCCAGTGGGAGTTATGGGAGGCAAAAACCTAACTAGCTTCAAGACAGAGCTTGATAAATGTATGGACATACGGTATGATGAGACTGTTGAAACGACATATTTACTGTCTGTGACTGCCAGCAGGAAATAGCTTCAACAGCCAGTGATGGGGAACTAGCTGGGGAGTCTTCTTGCCAAGATGCTCAGGGTCTAATGGATCATCAAATTTGGGGCTGGGAAGGAAATTTCCCGTGTTAGATTGGCAGGGACCTGAGGAGTGGAGGGGTTTCCTTCCTCTGCCACTTGGATCACTTGCAAGTTTAAACTAGAGTAAATGGTGGATTCTTTGTAACTTCAAGTCTTCAAATCCTGATTTGCAAACTTCAGTAACTGAGCCAGAGATTGTGGATCTATTACAGAAGTGGGTAGGCAAGGTTCTGTGGCCTGCAATGTGCAGAATAGACTAGATGATTGTGGTGGTCCATCCTGGCTTTAAAGTATATATTCAAACTGCTCTTTAGGATGAAATGGAAGGTTTAAGACTATTTGGATTCTTTTGCTCTTCACAGAGAAATGGAGGAAAAGCTGTCAGAGACCTAGGAGCCTTTCTGTTGCTGGCACTACATAGCAAGAGAGGGAGGAGATTCTTCCCCCTTACAGCTGCAGGATTTCCCAGTACTTAGCTTGGCCTCCGTCTGACCTGGAGGGGGAAGAAGAAAAAGTTACTCACCTTGTGTGCAGTATCAATGGTTCTTCGAGATGTGTCCCTCTGTGTGCGCTCCACTTCAGGTGCTGGTGTGTCCTTGTGCTGGCGATCAGAGACTTTTGGTAGTTCCTGGCCATGCATGTACAGTAATGACATCTTGTGTCATTGGTGTCTGTTGATTGTGCATGTGGCGCTTCCATTCCTCCTCTACAATGGATATAGCTCTGAGAAGGCTCCAAAGTAGGGGAGGATAGAGGGTAGTGGAGCACCCACAGGGGGCACATCTTGAAGAACTATTGTTATAGCACACGGTGAGTAACTTTCTCTTTGAGTGTTGTCCCTGTGGGTGCTCCACTTCAGATGTCTAAAAAGCTGTGTCAAGCTGAGGAGGTGGGTTTTGGAGCCACATTCCAGACACAGTGGATAGTACTGCCTGCCCACCCCACTGATGTAGACAGGATCAGACCAGATGTTACAGCATAGTGTCTGGCAAAAGCATGCTTCAATGACCAGGTTGCTGCTCTGCAAATGTCTGTAAGCGAGACATTATTGAAAAATGCTGTCGTTGATGCTACAGCTCTGGTGGAGAGAGCCGTTATGACTGCAGGTGGTTGTCTGTTGTGAATGGTGTAGCAGATGTGGATACAGGAGGAGATTCACTTTGATAACCTCTGAGAGGAAAATGACTGCCTTTTGGATCTTTCCAAAATGGAAGAAAAGAGCCTCAGGGATTTTCTCTAGGGCTTTGTCCTGTTGAGGTAAAAAGCAATGGCTTGTCGGATGTCCAGAGTGTGCAAGGAGGCTCGACGAGCATTCTTACGTGGTTTCAGGAAGAAACCAGGTAAGTTTATTGGTTCATTTATGTGAAAAGAAGTGGGGACTTTCAGTGGGACTTTGAGGTGGGGTCTTAATATCACCTTGTCCTTGCTGAAAATCGTGGGGGGGAGAGGGGGTCGGCAATCAGAGCTGCTATTTTATCCATCTCTACTTGATGTGACTGTTACGAGGAAGGCTACTTTCACAGACATGTGTAGGAGGGAGCATGTGGCAAGTGGTTCTAAAGAAGGTCTTGTGAGACTTTTGAGGCCATGATTGAGGTCCCAACAAGGGAGTAGGGGGCTCTCACTACAGGAAGTTTTTCTGGAGACCAATTAATAACCTTTTGATTATTGGGTGTGAGAAGACAAAAACCCCATCCAGAGGTTCATGGAATGTTGCAACTGCAGCTGTGTGGACTCTTATTGAGTTATGAAACAGGCCTGATTCTTTCAGTTGAAAAAGGTAGTCCAATATGATTGATAAAGATGCATGAGAGCACGAAATATTGTGATTATGTTGGACCCACTCTGAGAACCTCTTATATGTTTAAGTTCTCCTAGAGGAAGGTCGTCAGCTATTTATTAATATCTGTTTCACTCCATCTGAGCAAGAGGTTTCAGCATCATGGAGCCATAAAGGAACCAGGCCTTGAGATGGAGAGTCTTTGAGTTCAGGTGGAGTGTGTGGCTGTAATGCTGTGAGAGAAGACTGGACCACCATAGGAACATATGGGGACTGCAAACAGATAATCAGTTGAGATATGGACACCGAATCTGTCTGGATCATGCGGGCGTTACCAATATGACT